GTTACCCAGTTTGTTTTCATTTTGTACAAGCTTTATTGAGTCCAATTTAACATTTTTTGATTGATTCATCATTTTATTGTTGAATTTCCCTATTGCATTGAGAGTAAAGACAACTCTCTGCACCATTCATTCGATTTTAAAATAAAGTTGAGCAAATTAGATTTGAGAAAAGTACAAGTTCTCTTGATTTTCAAAGTGTCGTTTATTCAGTTGAGTATTTTCTTGTGTGAGTTTCCTTGCTTACAGTGTGACCTGTCAATTTTTAATTACTTATGCAGAATAGTTAAGCATTTTCTTCCCATTTAAGCTCACTGTGTTGTGTGTTCCTCGGTTACATTTTCTTTTATTCTTTCTATTTTTTTTTTTGCCTTATGCACTTGAGTAAGTTCTCTGAGAAGATGTCCCAGTCACTTTTGAATGTTCACTTAGTGTATCATGCCAGTCAAAGTCAATATGAATCAGTCCACAGTACCAGTATTCCCTTACTGTCTGTAATACAATACCTAGCCCCTGAGCAATGTGTTAGTTCTCACAGCTTGTATCTGAGATTTGTTAAAGTGCTGCGAAATGTGAAGTTCAGATTAAGTCCCTACAGATCGGGGAATTACTTATTAACGTAGCCGAGCGGTCAGGCACTAGTAATACTGTCACTCCTGTCTGGACTCCAGCCACAATATCGTGCACGCAGGAGAGTGATGAGACTACTATCCTTGCGATGGCGACTTGTTCAAGTACTCGTTCCTTCCCAGGGGACGCTTTGAGAAGAACTTTACTTGCAACGAGTTATGCCATCTCTTGCTGATGCCACAAGCCGTTGCAGAAAGACGTTTCTTTGGCTAGTGTACTCACTTGAATGTTGCTGTTGTCCCTTGTGTTCCAGATGGTGATCCCATCCTAGTTGACAGTAATTCGTGCAGTGTAAGAAGTTATTTCTCGAGTAACTTTCACATGTTGTTAACGTTTGTAAGTGAAGTTTCTTCATAGCTGATACCTTGTGTCACTGTGTGCGACTCAGATCGAATATCAGTATTGTTCACCGTGCTCATATCTTTTTCCCTGTGTTTGCAGTGAGAGATAGTAGATTCTTTCTCCCTTGCTCATATTGCGTGTTATAGCGTTATTTTTTCAACCGGGGAGAGTCATCCACTCCACCGAGTTTGTTCATTCCTCCAGTAAGAAAGAGCCAATCCCTTGTGTCCTGGTGTGATTCGATTCCTGCTCCAGGAAGATCTTATTCTTACTGTGAAGCCACCAGCACCCATTAGTGACTTTGTAATGAGCCAAGAATTACTGTATCGAATAGTCGAGTTGAGTACTCCTAGCAGAAGAGTTAGTAATTTCACAGTCACTAGTGAATGTAGCTGTATCTTTTGTAGATACTCATTCAGATCGTCCATGTAGCTGTATCTTTTGTAGATACTCGTTCAGACTGTCCTCAGTCAAGGCATGTGTTAGCCATTGCAGAGGAATTCGATCCTCCCAGAGATAATCATTCTGCATACGTAAACCTTGCCCTCGCAGAATTGGGTTTAGATGTAAACAGCCTGTATAATTAGATGTCAGAGATGAAGGAAATTGTCAACTGTGTGTTTTGTTATTAACTGATCAGTTTTTCAGGAATATTTTTTTTTTTCGTGTTCACGTTCCCTCCGTATTCTGAGAATTTGACAGTAATGATCTGAGTGTGCACCAGATGCCTTTGCTGTTAATTTCACCTTGTATATATATATATATTTATTTCCTCAGAATCCGTAGAGTGCATGAATACAGATCGATTAATCAATTCCATTCCATATTGTACAATGATTTGTTCTTATAGTTTGTAATGCATTACGTTAAAAGTGATTACATTAGCACCCATTACGTAAAACTCATTTTGTTAACATCCAGTATGATACCATCCATTAGTTCTAAGATATATATGAATTTGTTATTGTATAGAATCAGCCCAGAACCACCTGCCTGTTCAGCCTATAGCATAGTAGTGTATGTCGAGACGACATACGTAACATGACCGAGCTGTCAGCATAGTTGCTGATCCCCTTATATGTGTTGTATAGCGTATCATAGTACCATCCATGTGTTTATATAGAAGATCCCTTAGGCCTGTGACTGTATGACATCACGAGGTACAGCTTGAGGCAGTGAGACGAGCTACCTCGGTCTCACTCGACGGACCACCTACGAACAGGCAAGAACACAGCAGGCCCTGGCTCCCACCTCTCATCCACAGTGTGACAATATATAGTGTTACCATCCAACAAGGTGTTTACCTTCAACCCTCTGATCTCCTTACCGAACCCCACACGACAAATTACACTATGTATATTGCAACCCCTGAATGGGTCACAATGTATATTATGTATATTACCTGTTCATATAATTTTATATTGCTTATATTTGTGATATTAGCTAAATCGTAAATACATATATTGCTTTATATTATTATTTGACTAGGTAGTAGGTTGGTGGAGAGCAACCACCCAGGGAGGTACTACCGTCCTGCCAAGAGAGTGTAAAACGAAAGCCTGTAATTGTTTTACATGATGGTAGGATTGCTGGTGTCCTTTTTTTCTGTCTCATAAACATGCAAGATTTCAGGTATGTCTTGCTACTTCTACTTACACTTAGGGCACACTACACACACATGTACAAGCATATATATACACACCCCTCTGGGTTTTCTTCTATTTTCTTTCCAATTCATGTTCTTGTTTATTTCCTCTTATCTCCACGGGGAAGTGGAACAGAATTTTTCCTCCGTAAGCCATGCGTGTTGTAAGAGGCGACTAAAATGCCGAAGCAAGGGACTTGTAACCCCTTCTCCCGTATAAATTACTAAATTTAAAAAGAGAAACTTTCGTTTTTCTTTTTGGGCCACCCTGCCTTGGTGGGATACGGCCGGTTTGTTGAAAAAAAAAAAAATATTATTTGACTTAGTTATATTATTAGGTAGGATGTAACATTTATATATTCAGTGCTCATAGTTCGAGTGTTAAGTAGCTGACAGCATTGTCTAACTACTGTAGTTTTCACTTCACTTGTTTCGCTGCCGGCTTCTGTGTTGCTGGGTAGCAGCAGTCCACGAAGAGTCATGTGATCGGGGGGGGGGGGGGGTTGATCACACCTCACCTGGAGTGTGTCTAGCTGGCCTGCGCTAGTCTGTTTGATGTTCTTCTAACAAGACGTCCCTCTCCAGCTCTCTGTTGCGGGCTCTTATTGGAAGATCGTCTCTGTCGCTTTCTTGTTGTTGGTTCTGTGTAACTGTTCACAGAACATAGCCTAGACTTAGTGATTTTCGACACTGTACTGAGGTTGTATGTCTCATAGACACTCTGAGAAACTCAGGTCCTGCGCTGTAGCTTCTGACCTAATTTGTACTGGTATCTGTGTACTGTCACAGTCGGGGATTTTCTAATGCTGAACTTAGATTCAGTAGTATGGGAGTTTTGTGACTTTTGTGAAGGATCTGCAGACGGTCCCTACTTAGTGTCGTTATATTATCTCCTTGTTCCTGATTCTGTGTCGCTCTTGCTTGTTACATTTCCGTTCGGCTTATCAGCCGTTTTATTGTTTAAGCAAGCTGTTCTGATTGCCAGGTTGGTCAAGAAGTTAGTTTATGTGAGGACTTTTAGTCAGTCACTGGTTAAGTCTAGTTGAGTCTTGAGACATAGCAAACTACTTAGAGCACTTACACACATACACACAAACTTGTATATATTTGTACTATGTTATTAAATGCTAACAATGTACCAGACGGTACTTAAAAGCCATAAAGATGTGATATATGCCTTCAGCACAATACTACTGTACATGAGAGAAGTGTAGGAATTTGTATCCTATATTATATTCAATTGATTACTCTAATTTACTTTGATATTATACACCAAGACAACTTTTAATTTCTTTATTTAGTAGCCTACCAGTTGTAATCCTGAAGCACTATTGAATCTTACTAAATTCTAATGGATAATTGGACCAGGATACTGACTGACTATTTGTTACAAAAACCCAGTAACAGGCTGAATGATAGAAAGGCAGTCCTTTCTAGTATTCACTGGAGATCTCTATGCTTATTAGATATTGCATTTTTTGTAACAATGTATAACTGTCTTTATGTGCACCTGTGAGATAGAGACACAGATAGACACACAGAGACAGAGATAGATACAGACAGACAGAAGGATATAGAGATAGCCAAGGCAAATCAGCCAGCCGGCCAGCCAGCTGGCCACCCAACCAGCCAGCCTGCCGAACACGTATTACACATGTTCCAGAATTGCTTCTCTTTATTTAGAGCATACGTTATAGAACATTCTGGCAGGATGGCATTACCAATGGTATCAAAACTGAAAGGATGTTACACACTGGTCATTATCGAGGTTTTTGATATTTTCTCTCTCCTGTGAGTGATGACATATCTGAAGCTTGCTTGTAACTTGGATTTTGGCTTGCAACTCAAAGCGACGGCTCATAACTCGGAAAACTTGTAAGCTGGGGCACTCGTAAGTCAAGGTACCACTGTACAGGCTTTTGTCACTGTTGCAGTTGCCCATGCCCTCCACCCCCACCCCTCTGAGAACTACACACGACCACACAGCCTAGCAAATTCCATGGAAGGGACATGGAGACATGCTGGTCCGAGCTAGGTTCAGGAGGCAGCTGTTGTGACACACGACAGCTTGATGTTCCCTCGCCTCGCCCAGTCCTGCACCTGAGCCCAGGTCTGCTTCCTGCACAGGTCCGATATATATAATTCTTAATCAAGAGGAATCACTAAATTTTGAGGGAAGAGGGAGGCATTCAGGTTCAACTCAAGGAAGGAGAAGATAAATCCAGTTCCTTGGACAAAGAGCCCCTCACCAGCATGAAGTCACCTCCCATCACAAGTATTATTATTATATTCATTGGGAAGCACTAAAACTATAAGGGTCACACAGTGCCTGTGAAAGCTTAACAATTATGGCATTATCTGACCAAAAAATGCTTTTGCAAATTACCTGTTGGACTCTGAGGAGATGTCACCCCAAATCCACTTTGAGCAACTTGCCCAGTAGCAGATGTGTTGTTGCTGTTGCTGGCACTGCTAGTAGTGTTTCCAAACACACTGCTTCCAAACACACTGCTGTTTGTACTTGAACCTCCAAACAAACCTGTGTCACAAAAGAAAATTATCTAAATATTACAGGTGTCCCTTTATAAAGATTCATTTTAACTGAATTCACTATTATGCAATGTTCAATGATTTCTATTGTTAATTCTATATTGTATATGCTTTCTACAGGCATTGTGTGCAATCAGTATGGTTCTTAACCCTTGCAGGGTCGATAGGCCTTCTCAGAGATTTGTCCTCAGGGTCGCCCAAATTTCAAAAAAAAAAAAAAAAAAAAAAAAAAAAAAAAAAAAAAAAAAAAAAAACTTATAAAAAGATAGAGAATCTTTTCCCGATCATAATGACACCAAAAGTATGAAATTTGATCGAAAACTTACGGAATTATGCTCTCGCAAAGTTAGCGGTCTCGACGATGTTTACGCACTGGCAATTTTGCCCACTTTGAGCCCTATTTTCGGCCAATTCCAGTGTACTAGTCGACAAAAATCATAGCTATTTTGCTAGAACTTCATTTTTCTATAGAATGAGTACAAGAAATCACCCATTTACTGATTTCAACTATCCAATACAGTGGTCAGAATTTAGCAATTTTGCCAATTTCACACAAATTTCAAAAGATGCCAATTTCCGAATAGGGTCCAGAATAAACAAGAAAGACATTCCTGGCACTAAAATAACATTTTCTCTGTTCATTAGTCACGTCTCAAGGCCCCTCTTACATTCTTTAGCTTTCCACTTTGAATTTTTATTCTCACAAAAAATAGAAGATTTACTGTTATGCAGACTATTGCATTAGTGTAGAAATGGTATAAATAATATCAGCGCACTTGTGAAAAAATATTAGACTCACCAGTTGATGTGCATTGGATGCATAGCATTATTTGTTTACTTCTGAACTTTGGTAAAAATCGAACATTTCTGCTAATTTGAGCTCAATTTCAAGGCACTTTTCATTGTAAAACCAGTCAAAATCATCTCAATTTCTGTAATATGTCTTCCATTCTATAAAATGAGACCAGGAAAACTAGAATACAACAATAAATACCATACGAAAATACAGTGCAAAGTCGCTGTTTTAATCCAAAAACACGGTCAAAGTTTTTTTTTTTTCATCATGCACTGTGTGCTGCAGGATTTTTTTTATATCGTGCACAATAACCACATAGACCCATTCTTTCATATGTAGGCCTACCAGCTTTCTCTCATTAGATTTGAGGGCGCTAGAATTTAGGCGTACTAGTACGTCAAAAACCCTGGTGCGTAAGCCATACTAGTACGGCCGAAGCCCTGAAAGGGTTAAGGCACACTGAAGATACTTGTTATGGATACATAATGTAATTATTTATGGGTTGACAGAGCCCACTTTGTAGTTTCCAGTATGTATTCCTGCTCTCAGCCTATACAGTGGAGTGCTGCTGGGGCTTGTGGAGTGAATTTTTTAAGCAGAGTTAAGAATATTCCAAGTTTGCTTAGAAAACAATAGTGTACAGGATGTTAGAAATACGTAAAAGCAACCTCATAAGGACAAAAGAGGAATTTTAAAGAAGGAAGAACATTAAAAAAAGTTGGAAAGAATAAGACAATTACTGGTGTCTTATTCTTTCAGCTTTTTTAAAATTTTCTTTTAAATTCCTTTTTAGTTCTTTTGAAACTGTTCTTATTACTTCCAAGCATCGCAAGAATCGGCTTCACTTTCTCTGTGTAAAGGACGGTTGTGTTTTTACTGTACATTTGCTACTGCAATAATTTAATGGGTCTAAGTGCCATATTTATAAATGAAGATGTTTATAATTGCTCTAGGTAGTAGGTTGGTAGACGGCAATCGCCCAGGGAGGTACTACCATCCTGTCAAGTAAGTGTAAAACGAAAGCCTGTAATTGTTTTACATGATGGTAGGATTGCTGGTGTCCGTTTTTGTCTCATGAACATGCAAGGTTTCAGGTACGTCTTGCTACTTCTACTTACACTTAGGTCACACTACACATACATGTACAAGCATATATATACAAACCCCTCTGGGTTTTCTTCTATTTTCTTACTAGTTCTTGTTCTTGTTTATTTCCTCTTATCTCCATGGGGAAGTGGAACAGAATTCTTCCTCCGTAAGCTATGCATGTTGTAAGAGGCGGCTAAAATGCCAGGAGCAAGGGGCTAGTAACCCCTTCTCCTGTATAAATTACTAAATTTAAAAAGAGAGACTTTCGTTTTTCTTTTTGGGTCACCCTGCCTCGGTGGGATACGGGTGGTTTGTTGAAAGAAGAAAGTTTATAATTTTTCTAGGTAGTAGGTTGGTAGACAGCAACCACCCAGGAAGGTACTACTGTCCTGCAAAGTGAGTGTATAACAGAAGCCTGTAATTGTTTTACACGATGGTAGGATTGCTGGTGACTTTTTTTTCTGCCTCATAAACTTGCAAGATTTCAGGTATGTCTTGCTACTTCTACTTACACTTAGGTCACACTACACATACATGTACAAGCATATATATATACACACCCCTCTGGGTTTTCTTCTATTTTCTTTCTAGTTCTTGTTCTTGTTTACTTCCTCTTACCTCCATGGGAAAGTGGAACAGAATTCTTACTCCGTAAGCCATGCGTGTTGTAAGAGGCAACTAAAATGCCAGGAGCAAGGGGCTAGTAACCCCTTCTCCTGTATATATTGCTAAATGTAAAAGGAGAAACTTTCGTTTTTCCTTTTGGGGCCACCCTGCCTCGGTGGGATACGGCCGGTGTGTTGAAAGAAGAAAGAGTTTATAATTTTTGGACTTAAATTAGGGGACCATTCATATTCAAATGAACAGAGAGATCAGTAATGACAGTCGAGTAATTATACAAGAACAAAGATTGTTATATAATAACAGGTGAGACTGGTAGAATTAAGCAAAGGTTATTTTGGTGTACCTAAGTCCTACATTTGTTAATTATATTAAACTAGTAGAATACTGAATAAATAATAAAGAGAAAACAAAGAGAGACTTGTCATGAAACAATTTAACTCACTGGACTGTGGTTTAATGGCAGAAAATGCAGTAGAGCCAAAGACATTCTTGCTGGCACTTTCTTCACTTGGTTTACTACCAAGTCCACTAAAGAAGCCTCCTCCACTCTCTGTGCCTGTATAGTGCACAGAGAAGCAAATGTGATAAATAACAGAGTATGATGTTGCTAAAAGTAAACACAGTGAGAGGGTAATATGGGACCAGAGAAATAAAAAATTAGTTACAAATTAAGAGTCCAAAATAAACAATGTAGAAATTCCTGGCAATGAAACATTTCCTCTGTTCATTAATCGCATCCCCAGGCCTCTTCTATATTACACTTGTCTTCCATTTTTAATTCATAATCACACAAAATCAGAAGATTTACTCTATTTCCTGGATAATAAAATATAACCAGGAATGAGTGGTTACGGTTTATGTTGTCCCAATAATTGAATCAGAATATTAAAAACCCATAAAACAGACTAGGGGGTGTAGAGGGGCTTTACCTGTTCTCAGGAAAATTGGCAAAAATTTAATATGTATTTCCACTACTTCTGGTCCTAAAACCAACCAAAATTATCTTCCATTCTATCAAATGATACCAAAAATCCATAAAAACTATTCCAGAAAACAACTCAAATTTTTTGGGACTTGAGCTGTCGGAATGTGAACAAGGTAACACTTGTGAAGGGATTCAGGAAAAATGGTTAACCAGACTTGATTCCTGGAGGTGGAAAATACAGTGCCTGCACTCTGAAGGAGGGGTGGGGATATTTGCTATCTGGAGGAGCATCTGAACTGTAGTATTGGTGTGCCTCTGTCAAGACAATGATAGACTGAATGATGGTGAGTGTTTCTTTTTTGGGTCACCCTACCTTGGTGGTAGACAGCCAGTGTTTTAAAAAAAAAAAATCATATCAATTTAGATTTTCCAAGAGTGTTATAGTGTAAGGTAGTAAAAGTCTAGGATGATTGGATGATCATAATCCAATAACACCCACCTGCTCCAAATCCTGCTGAGGATCCAAACAGCGAAGTCTCGGGTTTACTTGTGCTGTAACACACAATAAAAATGCTTGAGCTTTTATTAAATGACTTAAATAGAGAAATAACTGAGAAATTCATCATGAATGTAGAAACCCTAGGGAGGAAGCAGGATTTAAATTTGTGGTCCAACAGTCCTGGTCACACAAAAGGCTGGTAACTTTGGACTACTTGTCTACCAGAAGAAACAAAAACTGTGTAACTTTATTACATACCGTATTTTCAATCGTAACTTATGATATTTGTAACAAACAAAAAGCCATCATCTTAGGCTTTGCACATTCATGATGAATACATACTTATCTGTTATTTCCCAAGATATAATTTAACAATAGCAATATAGTACTGTATAATTATAAATAAATTATGAAATTATGTTCTACAAACAAATCAAGTACGTACCAAACACACAATATCATGTTTCTAATGGTGAAAAACATAAATACAGTAAACTCTCTAATTAAGGGACTCTCACTGAATGGATTTTGGGAATAATGGAAAAAAAAAAAATAGCTAGATAAATGGTGAAAGCATCAAACAAAATGGACAAGTGATTTCAATTCTGTATTTTTTTCTATAGCTATAGTGTCTGGTTGACACAGTAACATAAAATCTACTCATTATTTTCACCCTATTAAGAGTTCATTTACTAATAATAAAACCTCTTAAAGATTATAATTAATCTTCTAAAAATAACCCTATCCTTTAACATTACGTACATTTTTTTGTGGTGATGTTTCTAGTGATAGCTATGGTTATTTATGCTACATTCTTATTATTAGGTTACAAAATAAATTGTATTAGAGCAACTGTTACTTAATTTTCTTAGTTTACTATTGTTAGAAAGCAACAATGTCTAAACTACTGTACAGGAGGGCCCCGCTTTATGGCGTTTCACTTTACGGCGTTCCACTAATACGGTCATTTCAAATTATGACCAAAACTCGCTATACGGCTCCCCCACCTGACTTTCTAATACTATCACCGCGCCCCACCCTGTTTGTTTACATTCTTTGTGAGCTCAGTAAGCACTAAGTCTCTCCATTTTGTCTGGAAACTCCAAAATTTCAAATGTTTTTAAAAGTTATTTCATATTTTATATATACTCTGATAATTATACGTATGTATACCTGTACTTAAATAAACTTACATACTGTGCTGGCATGCAGGTACACATTAAAATCAGTAAGAGTGTCTTACGTCTCCAGACGTCATATTAGTAATGATAATAATAATCATCGAGTCTCATTTAAATGTCGTATATTACGTTAAATACACATTTTCATTAATCCATCTATGATATTTTTTCAAAATTATATAATAAACACGATACATAACATAAAAAGATGATAAATACACCCCACAATAGAATAAATAAACATAAATATGAGATGTGGTAGCAGACGACTTGCATAAGTGATGCCATATTAGAAATGATAATAGTAATAATCACCGAGTCTCATTAAATGTTGTATATTACGTTAATATACACAGTTTCATTAATCCATCCATGATATTTTTTTCAAAATTATATAATAAACACGATACATAACATAAAAAGATGATAAATACACCATACAATAGAATAAATAAACATAAATATGAGATGTGGTAGCCAGATAACTTGTACAAGTGATGCCAAGAATAACATTTTCTCTAATCTAACATAAGAGAAAATGTGTTACTGGGGGAAACTGTAGAAAATTATTCCTTTCGTATGTATGTAAGTAAGTTTATTCAGGTATACACAAATACAGTCACATAGATTATCATACATAACAACATATGTGTAGAGAACCTGGGATAACCCAAAAAAGTCAGAGTGACTTATTTCCATTGCCTTCACTCAGAGCATCATTTCTTCTCAAAATGATGTTACATGAGAATAGGAGTGTTCTTCTTTATTTATTCTACCGTATCAATGTAGAGACAACCTGTACACAATGTAACTTGTACACAAACCAGACGTGTACACTTCGTTTACAAAACTTACCTTCGCATGGTTTGTTTACATAACTCTGCGCCTGTACTCTCTCATGCACTCATTCTTTCTCTCTCTCATTTATTCGTTTTATCTCATTTACTTACTCCTGACCCTACATTAAGACTACAAATATTTTAAGGTAAGTAATGAGTGAACTGTATATACATTTTATCACTCTGGGATGCTTATATGTAATAGAATATTGTGTAGGTGGGTTGGCCTGGTATGGTAGCCCGGCTGACTACCATACATACCACACTTGATTTTTTACAGTAAATACTACTCATCTCACCCTATATTTTAAGGTAAGTAATGAGTGAACTGTATATACATTTTATCGCTCTGGGATGCTTAAATATCATGGAATTGTATGTGTGGGTGGGGTGGCCTGGTATGGTAGCCTGGCTGACTACCATACATACCACACTTGATTTCTTACAATAAATACTACTTGTCTCACCCTAGATTAAGACTATAAATATTTTAAGGTAAGTAATGAGTGCACTATGTGTGTATTGTACTTTTTTATTGTTTTTTGATGCCTGGTTCTATTGCTAACTTAATATATGTTAGTGTAAACTTGTTATCTAGAGTTTGTATGCATTTGTAAGTGGAAAAAAAGGGTGTTCCACTTTACGGCAGTTTCCGCTTTACGGCGGTAGCCTGGAACCTAACCAGCTGTATAAGTGGGGCCTTCCTGTACATATAAAAAGACCATTACTTTATTTTAGTAATGCCAATATATAACAATCCAAGCAATCCAAGAAACAGCAAGTGTGTCTTATTCAACACATAACAGCGAATTGATTTCTGCATGATGCCAGATGAGGCTTAAAATTTAATGTCATTCCCAGTTAGCTTCGACCTAATAAAATTTCTGCTTCAGCCTCGCTGTTCAGGTACCATGCTCAGCTCTGAGCATTGGTGACAAATTCCCACATTTTCTCCCATTTTTTTATCCTGCTGGATAATAGATCATGGCTCCAAACAAGAACTTTTTTTCACTGAGGATATTCTCTGGCAGTGGGTAGAGTCCAGTCACTGACTAGTGGGGTGTAAGTGTCTGGCTCTGCTTGGGTTTAGGTGGGAAGATCTACCTCACTTAACTGGGAAAGCTGTTCTTCTTTTGTTTCCAAATAGAACTTTTATTCTTTTTCCTATGACAGCCTACATTTGGGCAACATTTCCTTTCTCAAGACTGAGATGTAGGGGCTGATACAACCACCGAATCTAACCATCATTAATTTAAATTAACTGCCAATAACAAAAATACATAAAGGGACAGCTTATGTCTGGCTCTGAGGAAGCTGTTACTATCTTAAATAAATAGAAGCAATACATGCATTCTTTATCTCGAGGATGGGCTGAGCAATTACATTACCTGGTTGTGGAAAATGGAGAAGAGCTGGCTGCTGAGCTTTGGCCAAATACTGATCCATCACTTCCACTGTTGAATCCTGAACTTATTGTAGGTTGACCAAATACAGATGACCCAGATGACTGTGTAGGTGTCCCACCAAATATTCCTGTTCCTTGTGATGTAGCACTGCCAAACAATGAACCACTTTGACCAGAATTGCCAAATACTGATCCTGTTGTGGTTGGTGTCCCAAACAAAGAACCAGAACTTTGAGAATTTTGTCCAAATCCGGATGAACTTTGTGTAGCTGTCTGTCCAAAAGCTGATCCTCCTGTGGTTGATGTAGTATTTACACTGAAGCCACTGGTAGCAGTACTTGGAGAACTAAATGCTGAGCCAGAACTTGTTGTTGTGGTTCCAAAAGCAGAAGTTTGTCCTACTGTAGGGCTAGAGACGGCAGATGATGATGCACCGAAGAGACTGCCTGTAGATGATGCACTCGAGAGAGAACTGCCAAATATGCTGCTAGTTGTAGGAATGGAACCTGTGCCTTGACCACCTCCAAGCGACAATGTTGTACCAAATAGGCTTCCACTAGATGTTGTGGCTGTACTTGAAAAAAGCCCTCCACTTGTTGTTGTGGCTGTACTTGAAAAAAGCTCTCCACTTGTTGTTGTGGCTGTACTTGAAAAAAGCCCTCCACTTGTTGTTGTGGCTGTACTTGAAAAAAGCCCTCCACTTGTTGTGGCTGTACTTGAAAAAGGCCCTCCACTTGATGATGTGGCTGTAATTGAAAAAAGCCCTCCACTAGAAGTTGTGGTTGTATTTGCAAAAAGCCCTCCACTTGATGTTGTGGCTGTACTTGAAAAAAGCCCTCCACTAGAGGTTGTGGCCGTACTTGCAAAAAACCCTCCACTAGAAGTTGTGGATGCAACTGCAAAAAGCCCTCCACTTGATGTTGTGGCTGTACTTGAAAAAAGCCCTCCACTAGATATGGATGAACTTGCAAAAAGCCCTCTACCTGGAGTTGGAGAAAAAATCCCTGCACTTGTTGTTGAGGAAGAGGTACTGCTAATGGAATTAACTAAACTATCAGTAGATGAAGGTGTGCCTCCTAAACTGTTTCCATTTGATGATCCTAATTCACTGCCAAACATACTTATAGATGACGTCATACCTCCAAAAATACTACTAGACTTCGTAGCTGCAGCAGTAGTAGTTATAGTAGTAACAGTAGCAGTAGTATTACTAGCAGCAATACTTCCAGAGGCTTCAGATGCACTACCAAATAAACCCCCTGTCATACCTAATGAGCCTCCAAATATACTAGATGATGATGTGGGTAATGAAAATAGTTTCAAAGATGTTGGAGATCTGTTATTTTCAAACAAACCTGAGGATTCTGATTCTTGGGATGTTTCAGGGGCATCATCTGAAGGTGCTTTGGTTAAGCCTCTGCCAGTCACGCTACTAGTATGTTTATTGAAAATACTAGAGGAAGATGATACCAAGGGAACTGCTGTTAAAGTACTAGTAGGTGCTGCTTGAATTTCAAGTTCATCTGCAGCTGATGTTTCCAATCTAAAGGAAATAGAACCACTTTGAAAGGGAACATTATCTGATCCAATATTTGCATTTGAAACCGTGTCTGAATCAGTTGATGCTGAGGAGGCCGAATCTGATTCAGCAGTAGGTGTTGTTTCAGAACTAGTAGAAGGCAAGCTAGAGATGGAGGCTCCTGCCAAGTCTGGGCTAGTAAATGGTATAGCAGTGATAGTTAGGGATGAATTAGAAGAAATATCAACTGTTCCAGGTATCATACCACTAAAGAGATTGCTTGGCTTGGACAGTGATGATGAAACTGAAGAACTTCCTGGCCCAGACAATGACCCTTCAGAGTTTGTAGAGGATACTGAAGTCAGCTGACCACTGGCTGGTGTGGAGGACTTGAAAATAAATGGAGTATCACTATTTGTAGTGCTAAGAGTTGTAGATTTGAAAGCAAATGAGCTTGAAGTTACATTTGCCTGAGATGCTGCAGAGAACTGAGAGGCAGTCGTTGTACTGGTTGATTCAACTGCTGTTGAGGGAAGCTTAAAGAGAAAACTTCCAGAAGGTGCATCCTGTGCCTTAGCAGATGAGTTTCCTGCCGAGACAGCAGAGAAGACAGTGGTTGGAGGAGAGAAAGGTGTAAAAGAAAATGGAACTGAAGACGGTAAAGTGGTTTTCAGTGAAGATAAAGATTTAGGAGTGAAATCCTTCAAAGAAATGGCTGCTGCATCTGTTGTTAAACTTTTAGCAACATCAGATGTCAGGTTTATGCTAAATGCATCCCCAAATATAGACTTCACCTCAGAATGTGAGGCGGAGCTTGGTGGGGTTGCATCAACGGCTGTAGTAGTTGGCACTTTGGACACTAATGAAGATAAGGCCAGTAATGGACTTGCAGCTTTCATCCCAGTTACCAGTTTATTGTCTGGGGTCTGAGGTGGTGTTACATCTTCATACTGAGGCTTGGCAATACCAACAGATTCATTTCCAATTACTCTGTTATTACCACCACTTACACTACTAAAGGTAAAACCAGAGGTTTTATTTGCTGTAGGCACACATAATGCTGAAAATTTATTATTTTTGGATCCTGCGTTGGAAATGGAAGACATATCGCTACCAACTTGTGGTAAAGGAACAAACTGACTTGATGTCTGGTCAACAGAAGCCTTTACATTACCAGGTATACCTCTTACGGTCACTGCATTTTTAGGTGTTTCAACACCATCTTTCACAGATGACAATTTACTAATTCTATTGGGAGTAGAAAATGTTTGTGGCCCAAAGGATGTGGACATGGAACCGTCCAAGTTAGAGGGAAACGACTGCTGCATTTGCTGTGATGTAGATCTATCCGGTAACCCATTTTGACCATAAGATAAGGAGAGGGTTTCAAGCGAAGTGAGATCCATCTTGGGTATGTTTGAGCATTTCCTGTGGAAGGGATATCAGTTACAACAAACTGTATTTTGTCTGGTTTAACTTGGCACTTATTAAGGACAATTATTTATGAGTGTTGTATTTTTGAACACTTATATGACTAAGCAAACCAAACAATGGATTCAAGTTAGATAAATTCAGATTTAGAGAGGCCAGAGGAAAAAACTGTTTCAGCACAAGTTGCAGGTGAGCAGAACAAACTGTGTTATGTAAGCTAACAACTTGAGTAGTTTTAAAAATAGGTTAAACTAATTTGAGTAAATCCAAGTTTATTTTAACATGATACATTGTTTATACAGAAATGGGTGACACTTAGAGAGCTTGTTGCAAGCCTATAGTTATGCAGAGCATTTTGGCCAAACTTAAGACTACAAGGGTGTATCACTGTACATTATTAAAAGAAATAATTAGTTGGGATATAGTCTAGTAAGTCTATAGGTACTATTAATACACATTAGATGACATTATAGGTACTATTTTGCACATTAATTGACATTCAATTCAGGAACTTGAATTCACTTCAGTTCAAGAACTCAAAAAATTGATTTTGGTTATAGTCTAGTAAGGTTGTAGAAGCAATTTTTTACATTAGATGAGAGTTAGGCATGAGAAGGACTCACTTTACATGGGCCAACAGGTCTACTGCAGTGCTCCTATATTAAATTTTTGTTAATACACCGACCATATGTTGTGTATCTTTATATGTGTATGCTTCTAGACTGTTGTATTCTGAGCACCTCTGCAAAAACAGTGATAATGTGCGAGTGTGGTGAAAGTGTTGAATGATGATGAAAGTATTTTCTTTTTGGGGATTTTCTTTCTTTTTTGGGTCACCCTGCCTCGGTGGGAGACGGCCGACTTGTTGGAAAAAAAAAAAAAAAAAAAAAAAAAAAAAAAAAAAAAAAAAAAACACCGACCATCTCCCACTAAGTGACTAAGGCAAGGTGATCAAAAAAGAGAGAAACTTTCACTATCACTGGCTTTGTTCTATACTTCCTGCCTGAAAACTTCTAAGCATTTCTGAAGCTAAAAGAGGTTAAAATAAATTTTACTTACCTCAGAGGAATGATCTTTCTTTGAGAGAGAACCTTCTGTAGCTTGGTCTGCTTCTGAGGAGGGAGCATTTTAAGTAGAGTTAGGCGAGGACTTGTACTCAGTGTGGTCTCCCTCAGTGCTCTCTCAAGGTTAGCCAGACAATCATCACTGAAATCAAATAAAATTTAATAATGCAGTAGTAATAATGGGTGGTGAATGGTAGTTGGTTGCAGTGGTGAGGTGTGGCACTATGGTGGTGGATAGTGGTAGTGCTGATGGTTGATAACTGATGGCATGTGACATAAAAGTTTTGTATGACAGAAGTTATTTCATTACTAAATGGGTCCTTATCTGTCAAAAACATACATAATAAATCATTTCCTGGCAGACAAAACACTACCACCACCAAGTTTTCTTGTAGTTACAACATCTATTTTCTTGCAACTGTATTAAAAAATGTGATATATGGAGCAAAATTGTTTGCCATGTACTGCTATCTTTACTACACACAGGGGTCCTCCAACTTGCTAGAGCTGCAATCTGGTGTTTCAACTGACAAATTTGTATTCCATGAAAGTGATATGGTATAATAAACAATGGTACAAAGGATGTCACACATGTTCATGACTGCAGATCAACATTTATAAAATAATACATAGTTTTTTAACACATCGGCTGTCTCCCACTAAGGTAGAGTGACCCAAAAAAGGAAACACTTTCACCATCATTTACACATAATCACAGTCATTGCAGAGGCACCCAGATATGACAGTTTAGATGTCACTCCAAACAACCAATATCCCAAACCTTTCCTTTAATATTATTTCTTTTGGACCTCACATATACACTAAGTGCAAATTACTGTAACTCATGCATTCATAAATTAAATTCCTCTGTAGTTCTGTTACGGCAAAATATGCTTGTGCACTGCTAAGCAGTGAAAAAATTTTCATATATGGAGTTTTTCCATCTTTTTCTCATAAAATTTCTGAACCTAGTTTTCAAAAAAAGCCACCCAAAAACAACGTTGTGAGTAGAGGTTTCCTTGCAGCATGATGACATGACAAGCAGAGGTTATTTTGCAGACAGTGATGGATGCACTAAATTGATAAGTGACCCCAGGAGTTTTGGATTTTTTTTTTTTTTGAGTTATGATGTAGTCATTAAGCCTGTACACACTCATTAAGCATGTATACATTCATTAAGCATGTACACTCTCATTAAGCATGTACACACTCATTAAGCATATGCATGCTCATGCACACTTGCTTCCAGCAAGCGTGCATGAGCATGTCAGATAGGAGTGAAAGGAGACGAATGGTTTTTGGGATCTTACAAGCTGTTGGAGTGTGAGCAGGGTAATGTTCTGTGAAGGGATTCAGGGAAACTGGTTAGCCGTACTTGAGCCCTGGAGGTGGGAAGTACAATGCCTGCATTTTAAAGGAGGGGTCTGGGATATTGGCTATTTGGAGGGACATCTAAACTGTCGTATCTGAGCACCTGTACAAAGACAGTGATTATGTATGAATGATGGTGAAAGTACTGAATAAAGAAAGTTTTTTTTCTTTCTTTTTGGGTCACCCTGCCTCGATGGGAAAGGGCCGACATGTTAAAAAAAAAAATACATACGCACAAAACACCCACAAAACCATGCACACACACAACACAAACACACACACATTATTTTAGTACAATGATTGTCTCCCACCAAATTACAACATTTTAGATATAATATGTGGAAAATACTTACTCTTCATACTGCCGATGGGATGAAAGCCCAAAAGTCAGAAAACTGATCTGAAGGGCCTTGAGTCTGTCACACAGTGTATCTACCTGTCTCTCGCACATTCGCCGAAGGCTGTTGCATTTTCGAAGAGCTTGATAGAGTGTCTCTGATGCAGGTAACTCAAGTTTTCTGTTAAAGAATGTGAAAGCTGTGCTGACAGTAGTGAAAAAAGTTTCTGAAAGGACACTAGAAGTTTTACTTTTCAAGGAGTGGTTGAAAATGAAATGGTTTACACAAAGTATTAATTGCTACAACCACAAACTTTTTAACACTTTATGACAGAGTAAATATTTAAGGTGCAACACCAAAAGCTTAACTATGCTCCTGCAAACTGACAATCACAAGCCTAAACCAATTTTCAAGATCTATACCATCTAGAAAATGATAGCCTTTTTCAAGCCAAAATACTAAGAGGTGCCAGACAAGTGTAGTAATCCGTTCCAGACACCCAAATATATTAACAAAAAATACATTTTATAGAAAATAACTATAGTATGTATCCACCCAGAAAGGAATGAAAAAAAAAAAAAAAAAAAAAGACTATGAATTATTTAAGAAACAATACAATTGAGCAAAATTCAAGAAGAGCCAGGGAAATGTCCAAAGCAAACTAAACCCTGGAGAACAGGAAAACAAGCAGAACTATGAAAATTTCTCTCCAAATGAAAGCTGAAAAAACATGAAATATACAAATTATCCAAAGCAATAGAAGAACCAAAGATATATCACAGCAACATAAGTTAGCTCAAGATAAACTCCAGTCAACAATGGAAAAGAAAAGACTAAGCATAATCTTTTTTCTTTCAATAAACTGGCCGTATCCCACCAAAGAAGGGTGGCCCTAAAAATGTTAGCAGCCTCATGTTCCCGGCATTTTATCACTTCTTATGACACGCATTGCTTATGGAGGAAGAATTATGTTCCACTTCCCCATGGAGAACTAAGCATAATATTTACTGCCAATATCAAAACAAGGTAAACCAGGAAACAAGTCTTAGTGTCATGAGAAATAAAGAAAAGACAGAGGTGTAGAACAAGATTTTATTGTGACATTTTATTCCCTAATCTTCTTCATTTGAGGTTAAATCCATTTAATATGCAAAATATGGGAATATTTATTGCTGACAATTAAGATTCCCAAGTGTTGACTGTGTGTCTTATTCATCAACTTGTTGGTATTGCATAGCTTCAATAAAGTCCACTTACTTTTTATTGTTCATATTATTTGTAAAAGCAGCCCAATCAAGGTGAAGTCTAGTATTTATTTCCACCATCTGACTCTGGAGATACTGATACAAAGAGCGAATTTCTTCCAGTTTTTTACGGCTCCGAGGGTCAAGGGGCCGTGATTGGAGGGACAAAAAGTATCTGAAAAATATTGTACCAAATTTTAAATTAACATTTTTTTTTAATACACTGGCCATCTCTCACTGAGGCAGAGTGACCTGAAAAAGAAACACTTTCACCATCATTCACACTATGACTGTCTTGCCAGAGGCGTGCAAATATGCATAGTAACATGTTCACTGTAAAATACTAAATCTGTTGGTTACACAGCACCTGGGAAATGGAAGGTAATCAGGTTTGATCCAAGGAAGAGAAAAATGGCTCGACTTCCTCAGACCAACAACCCTTCACCAGCATCAAGACAATGCAAATGGCAAGAACAAAGTAATAAAAAGAGCAATGAATAAAAATAAACTGCCAACAAATGCATGCACTTGAATTCTATCTTTATGGTAGTGATTATTATTATTATACTCAAAAAGAAGCACTAAGCCTTTATGGCAGTGAGCATGTTAGATATGGGTGAATGGAGACAAATGGTTTATGGGACCTGACAAAATGTTGGAGGGAGAGCAGGGTAATATTTTGTGAAGGGATTCAGGGAAACCAGTTAGCTGGACTTGAGTCCTGGAAATGGGAAGTACAATGCCTGCACTTTAAAGGCAGGATTTAGAATATTGGCAGTATGGAGGGACTTCTAAACTGTCGTAAATGAGCGCCTCTGCAAAGACAGTGATTCTGTATGAGTAATGGTGAAAGTGTTGAATGATGATGAATGTTTTTTCTTTCTTTTTGGGTTTTTCTGTCTTTTTGGGACACCCTGCCTTAGTGGGAAGCAGCAGACGTGTTAAAAAAAAAATAATTAAACCAGAAAAAAAAGAATAACATGCTTACATCTATTTGAATTTAAAAAAAATAAAAGTGAACATAGATAACATAAGGTGAGGAGGGTATCAAATGAGTTAGGTAAAGAAAAACTGGATATCACATTGGAGGGAGGGAGTAGGGAAGAAGTGAATGTGTTCAGCTATTTGAGAGAAGACTCATCAGTGGATGGGTTTATGAAGTATGTACAAGGTTAACCATAGAACTGATGAAGGAAAAAGGGTTGGTGGTGCATTGAGGTATCTGTGGAGACAAAGAAAGTTATCCATGGAGGCAAAGAAAAGAATGTATCAGAGTACAGCAGTACCAACAATCTTAAATGGGTGTGAAGTATGGGATATAAATGCTGCAGAAAGGAGGAGGCTGGAGGAAGTGGAGATGTCGTGTATAAGGGCAATGTGTGGTGTAAATATTATGCAGAGAATTCGTAGTGTGGAAATTAGATGTGGAGCTACTAAAAGTATTATTCATTGGACTGAAGAAGGGCTGTTGAGGTGGTTTGGTCATTTAGAGGATGGAGCAAAACAGGATGACTTGGAGGGTGTATAGATCTGTAGTAGAGGGAGGGAGGGGTAGGTGTTGTCCTAGAAAAGGATAGCGGGAGGGGGATGAAAGAGGTTTCGTGTGCAAGGGGCTTGGACATACAGCAGGCACGTGTGAACAAGTTTGGAGTGAATGGAGACGAATGGTTTTTGGGACTTGATGAGCTGTTAGAGTATGAGCAGGGTAATGCGTATTTTTGAAGGGTTTCAGGGAAACTGGTTAGCCAGACTTGAGTCCTGGCGGTAGAAAGTACAATGCCTGCACTTTAAAGGAGGAGTTTGGGATACTGGATTTGGGATGAACTGTCGTATCTGGCCACCTCTGCAAAGACAGAGATTATGTGTGAATGATGGTGACAGTGTCGAATGATGGTGAAAGTGTTTCTTTCTTTTTTGGGTCACCCTGCCTTGGTGGGAGATGGCCGATGTGCTAAAAAAAAAAATGATAGTTATCATATTACTCTTTTGGAAATTACAAAATACAGAAAGTTTAAGAAATTTATTACGCTGGTCTTCATTTGGAATGTTTTTAATTTTTATTTTTATTCATGGTTGCAATCTTACATATTCTTGGGCTTCTGGCTGTAAATATCTAAACCATTCTGCTCTATCATGTAAGGATTTTGAAAAAAAATACAAATTAATTAAAATAAAAAATATGAATTTTTAATAAATTGTTAATTTATTAAAATTAGGAAAGTAATCATGGAAAAGCACATTCTGTTAGTTTTACAAACATATGAAAGGATATGTTGTGTATCTTTACAGGTATATGCTTCTAAGCTGTTGTGTTCTGAGCACCTCTGTACAAACAGTGATTATGTGTGAGTGAGGTGAAAGTGTTGAATGATGATGAAAGTATTTTCTTTTTGGGGATTTTCTTTCTTTTTTGGGTCACCCTGCCTCGGTGGGAGATGGCCAACTTGTTAAAAAAAAAAAAATGAATTCCTAATCAACATGAATCAACTCAAATGATTTTATTAAAAAAAATATGCTCCTAGCCTACATATTGAATCAAAGGAAGGAGGACTGCTTTGATTTTCACTTGTGCTGTGCATCGAGACCATTACGTTTCAATGACCAGCAGTAATCCGCCATCATGCTGACATTCCAGTTGCCATGGTATCAAGTTTCCATGGTGCAAATATCCTTATGGAACTGCTCCCCTTGTTCCTCACTGTAGTCCCCACAATTGTTGGGAAAATAGTCAAGGTGTGAGTGCAAAAAGTGCATCTTCACACTCATTTTAGACCCACGTTGATGGAAACTTGAAATCAGGTCTTGGATCATTTTTTCGACACCTGCTAATGCTGTATCAATTCCCGAATCTGAGGGCCAACAAAGATTCCTGCTTTTAGCTTGCCTTTGAGGAAACTCTGACTCCGAAAGCAGTTCCATACTTGTTCAAGGCCTTCACAAAATTTTTCATAAGCTCTAATTTGATGTGGAGTGGTGGCAGAAGAATTTTCTTGGGGTCAACTAGTGGCGCAGTTCTCACGTTGTGATTTCCGGGTAAGAAGCTGGTTCTTGGTGGCCAGTTTTTTTGTTCACAGTGCTGGCTGTCTGCCCTACTATCCCAAAGACACAAAAATAGGAGAGCAATAACTTTTAAATCGCCACAAATGAGAAAATTTAAATTCTGGTACTTGATTGCGGATATTAGTGTCTTCATATTTGAGTAAGTTTCTGACATTTGGACACTATGGCCAATTGGCACAGATGCAGCTATGTTGCCATTGTAAAGAAGTACAGCCTTCAAACTTCTTTTAGAAGAATCAATGAAGCTTCCATTCATCTGCTTTGTATGACATCCCCATGTGTTCAATAAGGCCAGAAATATTTGAACAGAAAACTAAAGGTTCCTCTTTGTCAAAGAACCAAGTGAATTCTGCTTCACGATGATGGTACCAAGCATATGTTGTTCCTTCAGTCTAGAGCCAAGTAACTGTGCACTTTCTTTTGGAAGGTTAAGGTCTCTCACCAAGTCATTGAGCTCAACTTGAAGGGTTTGGGATCATCATTTGTTGGTGGTTCACAGTCTACTTCTATTTCCTTAGAATCACTGGCATTAGACTCCAATTAAATTTGCCATGTCTCAGGTTCACAGGTACAGGAATATCTTCAGTGTGGGGAACAGGCCTTATTGCTGAAGGAATCTTTGAGTATTATGCGATCTTTAGTCTTCTTGTTGAATCCAGCTACTTTAGTCATACAAAAGTAGCAGTCATCATGGTGGTTCATCTGCTCCTGCAATACCACTGGTACTCCAAAGGGCATACATTTAAGTTTTCCAACTGACCACATTTTGGGTTTATTGATGCAACTCTTGCAAGCTTTGTGTGGTGCTAATGGTTTGTCCTGGTTTCCAAGTTTGCAGCCAAAATAAGGAGAGTAGCAGCTTCAATAAAGGAGTAATGTTGCTCTGAGAATCTGAAGGGGTGAATTGTCTGCAGACATAGCAAAATATGTCTGGTGAATTTATGCAGCCTAGAGACATGTGTTGATTGAACTTTGTATAGAAATGGGTTTAGTTATTGGTAACACATATTTTAAGAAAAAGAGGATAAATAAGTATACAAGATATGATGTAGGGCAAAATGACAGTAGTTTGTTGGATTATGTATTGGTAGGTAAAAGACTGTTGAGTAGACTTCAGGATGTACATGTTTACAGAGGGGCCACATATATATCAGATCACTTTTTAGTTATAGCTACACTGAGAGTAAAAGGTAGATGGGATACAAGGAGAATAGAAGCATCAGGGAAGAGAGAGGTGAAGGTTTATAAACTAAAAGAGGAGGCAGTTAGGGTAAGATATAAACAGCTATTGGAGGATAGATGGGCTAATGAGAGCATAGGCAATGAGGTCGAAGAGGTATGGGGTAGGTTTAAAAATGTAGCGTTAGTGTGTTCAGCAGAAGTTTGTGGTTACAGGAAAGTGGGTTCGGGAGGGAAGAGGAGCGATTGGTGGAATGATGATGTAAAGAGAGTAGTAAGGGAGAAAAAGTTAGCATATGAGAAGTTTTTACAAAGCAGAAGTGATGCAAGGAGGGAAGAGTATATGGAGAAAGAGAGAGAGGTTAAGAGAGTGGTGAAGCAATGTAAAAAGAGAGCAAATGAGAGAGTGGTTGAGATGTTATCAGCAAATTTTGTTGAAATTAAGAAAAAGTTTTGGAGTGAGATTAACAAGTTAAGGAAGCCTAGAGAACAAATGGATTTGTCAGTTAAAAATAGGAGAGGAGAGTTATTAAATGGAAAGTTAGAGGTATTGGAAAGATGGAGGGAATATTTTGAGGAATTGTTAAATGTTGATGAAGAGAGGGAAGCTGTGATTTCGTGTATAGGGCAAGGAGGAATAACATCTTGTAGGAGTGAGGAAGGGCCAGTTGTGAGTGTGGGAGAAGTTCATGAGGCAGCAGGTAAAATGAAAGGGGGTAAGGCAGCCGGGACTGATGGGATAAAGATAGAAATGTTAAAAGCAGGTGGGGATATAGTTTTGGAGTGGTTGGTGCAATTATTTAATAAATGTATGGAAGAGGGTAAGGTACCTAGGGATTGGCAGAGAGCATGCATAGTTCCTTTGTATAAAGGCAAAGGGGACAAAAGAGAGTGCAAAAATTATAGGGGGAGAAGTCTATTGAGTATACCTGGTAA